AGGAAGCATATGGAGGAAGTCAGGTTGTCATGAAGGAGGTGCAGGGCAACATCATCCAGCAAAGTGGCATGAGAAAGGTGAACTTCAGCATGATGGGCAAGCCGGTCAACTTCATGGAGATATCCATGGTGGGGAATCCCAATCCTATGTGCAGGGCGTCTCCTACGCAACGGCTGGAGATGAGATGGAGCGGAGACGGGCTCCAGTTTGGCACAAGCAAGGTGTGGAGATCCCGTTAAAAATGAGGGAGAACAGCCTGCAGGTCATTGCAGAAATATGCTCAGTGGAGACAGAGGATGCTGAGCATGAGGAGCGATGGAACACGGTGGAGCTGGACGGCTTCTGGAGAACAAGCTTCAGCAAAAAGGGCTGGAAGCGTGCAGTGATCCAGTTGCCTCTCAACTACTGGATCCGTCAGGCACTTTTGATTGGCAGGCGAGGATGATCGAGAATGTGGTGGGCGACCGCACGGAGCTGGGCCATCTGGCTTTCAGACGGCTTGGGCCCACTGAAGACCCTCAGAAAACAATCACTGTAGTTGCCCCCACCAAAATGTCGAGCTTGACTCTGAGGTGCCCCGTGAAGCTGATGAGCTTGGCTGGTCAGATGAGGAAGTTGGAATTGGAGATGAAAAGATGATGAAAGAGAGGAGCCGGACACAGGCCATGGAGAAGAGGCAGTGTACGAAGAGCTGGCTGGAAAGAGAAAGGGGGTGGAAATGGATAGTGCCAGGTATACCCTTGACTCCTTGACAATTCCGTGAAGGAATTGCGAGAAGGATGTGAACGGCATGGGTTGCCTACCTCAGGGAGCAAAAATCTAAGCTGCTCATGAGGCTTGGCAACTTTAGGATGGATCTCGAGGCGAAGATGCAGACAGAGCTTGCGAGAAAGCTGTATCGAGAACGCGAGCGAAAGCCCGTTGCTCTAAACATCCCAAGAAACCGACCCTTGCCGAACAACAGGAACAACCTCACGCACTACCCGTTCGCCGGATGGTGCCAAGCCTGCTTGAGCACAAGGTCCACAAGAGAGACGCCAGAAAGGAGGTGATCAGCTTTGACTTCGGCTACACCTACGTGGACGACTATGGCAACGAGAGGAGTTCCGAGGAAGTGAAAGATGCAGGTGATCAGTATGGTACAGTTCTGTGTGCCGCTGATCACCACAAAAGGCAGCGATGGCAGTTTATCGTGGTGAGGAAAGGAGCGCCCAATCTCAAGATAGGAATTGGTGCGCTTCGGACTTCAAGTCGCTGGAGGAGACCCCGTCATCTATCAGAGCGATGGAGAGAGATCGACGAAGCCTGGCAACTCCATCCTTGGCAGTCCACACCTCCCCCGTATGCTTGGAGCTTTCGTCGCGCGGCTTGGTTGATCAACCGCCACAAGCCTGGACAAGCCAGGAGCTGTGCGCAGGGAGACGGTACACGGGAAAGATATGCTTGTTTGGCAAGAGCGTGATGTACCGGCGCCTTGCAGCGTGAGCCAAGGGTTGGAAAGTCTCCCTGGGCTGACTGCCACATCGTGCTAACCGCTGGAGGCGCTGTCGAGTCAAGGACACTGAAGAGGCTCCCAGAACAATTTGTGGGCACGGAAATGATTGTTGTCAAGGGATTGCCTTGGACCGAAGAGGAGACCTGCCGCAGCAGTGGGAGGAAGGAGATGAAGAAGAGAAGTTGGAGTTTGAGAAGGCTGAGGAGCAGAAGGAACAGGGGAAAGTCACAGAAGCCGCTGCAGGGAGACAAGCGCGAGAGGCAGGAATGGCAGCGGGGCTGGCGACACCGGTGGAGGACAGCGCAGAGAAGAGAATGGCAACAGAGGAGCCGCACGAGGATTTGGACCCAACAGCTACAGCAGAAGCGACAGCAACAGCCGTCCAGGCAAGGCTGTTGAGGCAGATGCCTCCACCTCTCACAGAAGAAGGCAGGAGGCGAAACACCTGGGACGAGTCGAACAAGGGAACAAGGGAATGGACCTGGAGGATGTGACCAGGCCAGACCGAGCTGTACAAGATGGCTCTGGTGGCGGCAGCCGCCAATCTGGCGCCCAAGAGCGCGGACGCCGGAACCGAATGGATGTGGTTTCCTCGCACTGACCATTTTGGCCGGATTTGGAGCCCCAACGCGGTGGCGACCCCCCGAATCCACGGAGAACAAAGCCGGAATGGAAGGCTGAGAGCATTAGGAGACGGACAACGGTCCGGGTTGCCCCTAAAAGCGTTGTGTACCACACACATCCCACGTGTCCGGCCGCGCTACACAGTGCAAGGACACTTCCGCAGCGCACAAAGTGCTGTGGTCATGAAGGCAGCGTGTCAGAACTGCGCTAGAGTTCAGTCATGATGACAGGTTGCACGCACGACCGCGTTGAGGCTCTACTTTCATGAGAGCAAAATAGGAGCGCTCCGCTTATCACAGAAAGGTCCTCTCAGCTAAGTTCCCTCTACTACTAGCTCTTTCCACACAACTCATCGTTCAAGGTCAACTCAACACAGCAACGCCCTGTCAATAAGAAACAACTCTCTGCCTAAGGTCCTTTTTCTGAGCTAGTTCAAAACAATCTCTCCACAAGGCGCTCCCAGCGCTCAGCCCCCAACAAAAGCTCGTTGCTCTCAACTAGTGTCTCTGCAGCCCGCCTCATGCTACACGTGTCTGCGCAGCACCACCCACCTTCTCTACATTTCGATGGGCCTGTAGGGAAACCAACGCGGATGCCCAAAAAACTATCCCCAGACGTGTTGCGAAACTGGATCAAGTTTTTCCAAAACTCAACCAGGTTGGTGGTAAACTTGGTCGAGTTTTATCAAAACTCAGCTAAGTTTGTAACTTGGCCGAGTTTTTCATGAAAATTGTTCTAAACTGAATCGGTTTCAAATCCAAGTTGGTTGATTTGGGTCAAACTTGGTGGAGTTTTGGGCAAACCTGCAAGAAATCTCAAAGTTTAAAGGAAAACGTGACACGATCTAACTAGCTCTTTCGTGCGCAGAAGATCGTGGGCAGGCCTCGCTGCTCACTGCCTGAGCTCCTCCCAGAAGGTCCGGAAGAAGCTCATCAGCGGCCGCCCCTGAGATCCTGTGCATACAAGGTCTCTCCCAATTTCTGTCACCAAATCCTCTCAACAAGTTCTCTCAACTAGTTCTCTCCTCCAAACAAGTTCTCTCAAGAAGTCCTCCAAACAAGTTCTGTCACGTCCTCCCAACAAGTTCTGTCAGCAAGTCCTTTCAGCAAGTTGTCCCAACTAGTTCTCTGAACAAGTCCTTCCAACAAGTCTTTCAAGAAGTTCTCTCAACAAGGTCTTTCAACAAGTCCTCTCAACAAGATCTCTTAAGAGGTTCTCTCAACAAGTTGTCTCCCAACAAGTCCTCTCAACAAGTTCTTGTGTAGCTAGTCCTCTCGAGTAAATCACTCAACACGCTTACTCAACTAGTTCTCTTAGAAAACTTCTCCTAGCAGAGTCTTACAAAGAAAAGCAAAGGTTTAACACGTTTCCTGGATTGGCTCAGTGGAGCACAGAGAGACACCCCTTCCAGTTGCTCCGTGAGCTCGGCAAGTCGGTCTTCCAGGCACGAGATTCTCTCTAACAGCTCAGCCAGCGGAGGCCGCGGGGGACCAGCCATAGGCTCAGCGCTTGCGTTGATGTTTATTAGTTTCTCAACAAACCGCTCAGCAGGTTCCTTCAACTCTCTCAGCGAGTTTCTCAATAAGGCGTGCAGCGCCTCAACAAACAATTCCCTCCCCTTCAACTAGGTCTGTCAGCGAGTTCCACATGCAACTAGGTCTTCTCAGCTATACTCAGCAAGTCCCTCAACAAACTTGTTATGAAGTAGCATGAAGAGATCCCTCAACACAGCGTGCGCTGGCTGCACCTCAACAGGCGTAGAGACCACGCTCTCAGCAAGACCCCTCGACAGTGGCCTCCTTGGTCTGGAGTAGCGGGGGGGAAACAGCCAGCCTTGCCTGAAGCGAGATGAGCGGGCAAGCGGGTAACGCAAGTCCTCTCAAGCCATCTCAACAAGTTCTCTCAGCGCTTCCTCCTTCTTGCCAAAGCGCCCTCCTCTCCGCAGTTCGACGTTTGAAGGGCTTGGGTTTACTCATGTCCATGGCGCTCCGCCGACTCAGACGCGGTCGGACATGGTTGTGTCAGGAAAGGTTTACAGCAAAAGCTCGAGGCGGAGAGCCTTGGACCGGTAGCGGTTGAAGAAGACAGCTGACCAAGTTTAACGGCTCTTAACAAACTCGCCAAAGCCCCTTGAAGCTCTAAATCGGATCTCAGCAAGCAGACCCTTGTAGTTCCTGGTTTAGCCGGAGAAGGAGACTTCACAGGGTCCGCCCCAGAATCGAACAAATCCTCATCAAGGCAATAAAGAAGTGAACGAACACTCTCAACAATGTCTCCGCAAGGGCCCTTCCTCCCTCTCTCTCTCTGTCTGTCTGTCTGTCTGTCTGTCTGTCTGTCTGTCTGCGGCGCTCGGTCTGTCGTGCCCCGAAGCTCAGCGATTTGCAGCTTGACCCCACGTGCTGACCATGTCACGAGCAAAGCCCAGTGCCCAAAGACACAATCGAGATGCAAACAAATCCCAGCGGGCGAAGTTAACTTTAATAGCTTATTTGTTGTTCACTTAGCTTTGTCCTTCTCAGCTTTGAGTTTCTTTAGCTTGGCAAATTCAATTTTCACTTGGCTTTTTTTAACTTTAATATTAAATCTATGAATCAGATTTAAAGGATTTTGCTTAGGGAGAATGGATTGTTAGAATTCTTCACCATGAGTTTGCCTGATGGAGTCGTGAAGAGAAGGCATGGTGACAGTTTAGACACTTTCGGGGAATCACGCCGGGGCGTTAGGGATGTCGGGGACGCCGGGCACGTCAGTGACGTTGACATCAGGGACGCCGGGGTGGGACGTGGCCCGGGCTTCCTTCGTTTTTTCGTTTTGCGCATGCGTTTCATCGCGCAGAAAAGCAATCCAGTTCCTATAACTTTTTTTGGGGCATGCGCGCGCTTACAATTTGGCAGGCGTGCGCGCAGGGCTGACCAGGCGGGCTTAAGCGGGTGTGCTTACCATTTTGCGCGGCGCCGACAGGCAAAAAGCCGCGTGGGGCAGTGAAATTGCGGGTTGATCGCCGTGCCAGTCGGATTTCCGGCTTTGGGGGCGCGCCAGAAGAAGGCGCCGCAAGGTACAAAAACAACAGCACCAACGACAAGACTAACACCAACAACAGCGACAACGACAGCGACAACAACAGCAACAACAAATGCAACAGCAGCAGCAACGACGACGACGACGACCAGAACAACAACAACAACAGCAGCAACAACAACAACAACAACAACAACAACAACAACAACAACAACAACAACAACAACAACAACCGACAACGACAACGACAACGACAACAACAACAACAACAACAACAACAACAACAACAACAACAACAACAACAACAACAACAACAACAACAACCGACAACAACCAACAACAACCAACAACAACCAACAACAACCAACAACAACCAAACTCAACCGCAACAGCAACCCGCAAACCGCAAAAAAAACCGCAAAAAAACCGCAACAACCGCAACCGCAAAAGAAACAACCGCGAAGCCGCAGGGAAGAGGGAATCCCTGCAACCGCAAAGACCCGCAACCGGGGCAAACGTGAAAACCGCCGGGAAGAAAAACCGCACCAGCAAAAGCCAACGGCAACCACGACGCAAAACGACGGCTGATTCGGCCCGCACAACAAAAACAACACCTGCAACAGAAGCAACACAAACAACAAAGCAAGGGAGCGGAAAACGGCAAAAAACGGCAAATGCAACAGCAGCAACAATAGAACAAATGCAACAGCAACAGAACCAGCCACAGCAACAGCAACGGCAACCACGACGACAACAACAACAACACCAACAACAACAGCAGCAACAGCAACAGCAACAGCAACAGCAACAGCAACAACAACAGCAGCAACAGCAACAGCAACAGCAACAGCAACAGCAACAAGAACAATAACAAGAACAATAACAAGAACAAGAACAAGAACAAGAGCAAGAACAAGAGCAAGAACAAGAACAAGAACAACCACAACCACAACCACAACCACAACCACAACCACAACCACAACCACAACCACAACCACAGCAGCAGCAGCAACAACAACAAGGTACCGGGCTGCTTTCGCTTAAACCTACTGTTGGTTGTCAAAGGTTATCCCAAGCGGCAGCACTTTATGTACCAAGATGGCACCGTAGCAAATGGAACCAAAGACGCTTTTTGTGGAACCCTTTGTTCGTCTCACTGCTCTTAGTCGCTTTGGAACTATCCTTTGGTGATTACTCTTTCCTGGACCAGTGGGGGGAGAAAAGCGCGCCTTTTTCCGGCACCAAACTTTCAAGACAAGGCAACAAAGTCGCACCTTTTGTGTTATACGGTTTTTGTGGGAAGCCTGAAAAAGGGCGCCGCCGGGGTCGCATATGTCCTCTTGGGAGCTTTGAGTTTTCCATGGGCCCGCTGCGGTCAAGGTGGACACTATTACCCCGACCCCCCCCTCTGCCTTGCCCCGCGCGAAGAAACGCCTAAAACAAACCTGCGTGGCACACACACGCAACAATGCCGAGAAAATACTCCGATTGCTGGAGCCTGCTTGGAACAGAGACCAAAGTACCCGAGCTCAACCCGCATCCGCGTGACTGAAAGTGCCAAATCGCGGGCCGCGTAAGCAGCGCCGCGCCAACAACAACAACAACCGCAACAACCATAACAGCCACAACGAACAGCAGCAGCAACCAAACGCAACCAAAACAACCAACAACAGTCAACAACAACCAACAACAACTACCACCACCAACAACAACAACAAGAACAACAACAACAGCAAGAACAACAAGAACAACAAGAACAACCAGAACAAGCAGAACAACCAGAACAACCAGAACAACCAGAACAACAAGAACAACAAGAACAACAAGAACAACAAGACCAACAAGAACAAGAAGAACAACAAGAACAACAAGAACAAGAACAAGAAGAACAAGAATAACAATAAGAACAACAAGAACAAGAAGAAGAAGAAAAGGCATCCGCGTCTTTCGCCGCCGTGGAAGGCGGCGCATTTTCCCCAGCCCTTGTTTCCAAAACACAGAACTGTCAATCTGTTTCTTTTTTCAAGAAGTCCGGTTTTTGAGAAGAGTTATGGCTCAAAGCGCTTGTTTTTCTCCGAGGCAGCAGCGTGTCACTTCGCCCACAAGGCCTTTACCAAGCGCTTCTCAAAATCGTGGCCCATAAACAACTCATTGTGCCGCCGCACCCAACTGTAAGCATCTCGCCAGAGAGCGGGTGTCCTTACCATTTGGCTGGCATGTGTGCAGTGCTAAGCGGGTGCGCGTGAGCGGGTGTTCTTACCATTTGCTGGCATGTGTGCAGTGCTGAGCGGGCGCGCGTGAGCGGGTGTTCTTACCATTTGCCTGGCATGTGTACAGTGCTGAGCAGGTGCGCGTGAGCGGGT